GATGTAACTCCATTCACCACAACTCTCTGGGCCCGGCCGTCCAGCCAGTTTTTGACCCAGCGCAGAGTACACCTGTCTAAGCCGTGACGCAGGCTTCAGAGTTACTTTAAAAAGCGCGTTGCTGTTAGGCTGGTATTCACTATTTGTCATTCTTTCATTGAAAACTTACAGGGATCAGCAGACCGAAGGGGATTCAAAACTCTTGCTCTGGGAATAGCGCAAGGGTGCCACGGAGGCACCTGAATGCCATTTCAGCCTGCAATCGGACGTTCATTTGATGCAGCTGGAAAAATCAGTTGGTGGTGCAGCTTGGAGTTCAAAAGCACCTGCAAACTTCCCAGGAAATGTTCACAGTGATTTCAGAAGTCCCATTGCATACGCAGCATCATTATGTAAGTGCAGAACAGGAATCGTCAAGGCTAGACATACTGGGAGCTCGCATACCTGGGGGTTACCTGCAAGGATGAATTTAAGACTGTTGAGGGTTAAACAACAGCAGACCCTGATGGGTACTTTGTACACAGAGTAGTTTTAAGGTGCATCAGTTTCCTGGGCGTATGGCCAGCATTTTTCCCTCAGGTGCATTTTACAAGCCCGGAGTTTCCGGGAAACTTTTACCGTGGACATAAAGGGAATCATTTTCACTTCAAGTGAGCAAACTGCAATTCTAAATTGATTTTGGGTAAGATGACTCAGGTTTTAGCAGGCACAGTTAGGCTGTTCAGTACCAACTCATTGATTTCTCTGTAATCATGAATTCTTTTGAAAGCTGTGCCTTCACTACCAATCCATGACGTGTTTCAGGGAGCAGAGGAGTGAAGGAAAATACACCAAATCACCTGTAGCACTACAGCTGTATTTAGTACTATGGATTAATAGATGCTAACAGGGTGATAGTCTATTTGTATATTGGCAGGCTGACTTCACAATGACAGAATCAGCTAGTACTTCCTCTCGGTATTTTAAATCAAACTATAAAAAAAAAATACAGGGCAAATAGTAATTGGGACAAAATCAGGAAACATGAAGTTTAATTTAAAAGTTAGTTTAACAAGAAGTTAAAAGAATTTGACAGCTCACTCTTTCTCTTAGCTGCAAATATTGCATCATTTTATAGTGGTACTGTAAAACGAGGGAAGAAGAGGAAAGAACCCACATAGAATAAAGACAGCAGTGAGTTTTTTGTCATTTGGATCCAGACATCAGCACAGGGTTTTTTTGCCAAAACTTTCAGATGCACAAATCAGTTGCATGTATTCCAGATTACATGTAGTGTTCCATCTTACTTAAATAAAAAAGCACAATGATTTTTAAAGTTAAATTAGAGATTGTGTTTACTAAGAGGTACTTTGCTTCCTAAGGAGTTCATATAAACAGTGCAGTGCTGTTACCTTGTATTTGGTTTTCGTGGCAAGGTTTGGGGGCGGGGGGGGTGGGGGGCTACAGGGGTGGCTTCTGTGCGAACC